TATACTCTGCCCCTCCCGGCCTCTCCCCCCCACAGGCCAGGCCAGAGCTCCTGCCCCAGTGAGACCCACAGGTCTGGGCTAACCCTGGGTCCTACCAACCACTAGCGCTGCGATCTCGGGCACGCACCTGCTGTCTCAGCGCCTCGTTTCCCAGTCTGTAAAGTGGGGGTGCTCCCAGGGGTTGCCTGTGAGCAGTCGGTGAAGCGATGCCTTGCCAAGAGCACCTGGGGTGCAGCAGCTACTTGGCAGTGGTGGGGAGAGCTCAAAAACTAGGCTCCAGGGACCAGCAGTTAGCATAATGGCTATGTCGCTGGACTCCCACGTAGTTGACCACAGTTCGTGTCCCGGACCTGGTGGCTTAAATTGACGCTGGGTGCATGTGCGTGCGTGCCCAAGATCCCGAGAGGAGAATGGAGGAGAAGGGATTGCGGTGTGGCCATCCCCCCTGGGGGGTGATTTCTCGCTTTCTGTCTCTCTCTGTCTGTCTGGCGAGTGCACGCACCCTACAGCAAAAACCTCTCCAAATAAATAAATAAATAAATAAAACTAGGCTCCCAATGCCAGGCTTTCCCCTGGGTCCCACAGCCTAGGGTGCCTCATGGTGTGAAAGGGGCCAAGTGGCAACAGGGCACAGCTTCACGCCCAGCAGGGCCGACGACTTGCCACCTGGTTTGGGCAGGAGCTACACCTGCAGGCTGTGGTCTGTGGGGACGCACGGGTAGGTCCCAGTGATGGTAGCACAGAGATATGTCATTGGCCCAGGCCTGTCTGGGGATGGAGGGCCCCAGATCCCAGTCTCCCAAGGAAGGTCCTCGGGAGCATCTTTCTCCAGATGACCAATACATGGGTGCTCCTGCTCCTCAGGGAGCACACTACTAGCCTCTACCTTCAGCCTAGCTGTCCTGGAGGGGCTCTGCCAGGAATCCCAGGATGGAGGTTACATGGGCCTTTCTCGCTCTCCTTCCATCCCCTGAAGTAACCCACGGTCCTGGGCCTGTCCTGCCTGCCATGTGCAAGCTTCTCTCAAACCTCGGCTCAGCTAAAAGCAACAGCGCACAAGAGGCTACAGGCAGATCACCCCTTGGTGGAAATTCAGGCATGCAAGAGGGGCCCTCACTTCTTAGGTGTGTCATGTTAGCGGCCAGCTAAGTCTGTCTGCTGCTTGCCGTCAGCAAGGCAGAGGTCAGGGAAGAAGGGAGTTCACTGCTGTGACAGTCTCAGGGAGACAGCAAGCACCACCAAACTGCCTCGCACAGCTCCTCATGTTCTCAGTGTTTATAAAAATACACATAAGATACAAGCAGGTGCAAATCATTCCTCTCTACAGTCAGGCAGCCCATCGCTTTCCCCTGAGTAATTATCCTGATTCCTGCAAACACCCACTCCTGGGTTCTCGTCTGACAGTTCCTCAAACAGACCTCCCCGTGACCCAGCGCTTGGCCAGGCTGTTCTCAGCAGGTCTTTCTTCTCTCTCTCTCTTTTTTTTTTTCTTTTCTTTTTTTGGAGAGGTTTTTGCTATAGGGGGGTGCATGCGCTCACCAGACAGACAGACAGAAAGAGAGAAATCACCCCCCGGGGGGATGACCATGCCGCAATCCCTTCTCCTCCATTCTCCTCTTGGGGTCTTGGACCCACATGCACATGCGCTTGGCGTGAGTTTAAGCCGCCGGGTTCGGGACTTGAACCGTGGTCGACTACGTGGGAGTCCAGCGACATAGCCATTACGCCAACTGCTGGTCCCTCCACAGGTCTTTCTTCACTTAAAAATGACTGCAGTCCTGCTCAACCTCAAGCTGGCCTACTTCTGTACTGCGGAATAAACCTATAAAGAAAGGTAAAGAGGCCAGCAGGTGGCGTAGTGGTTACGTTGCTGGACTCCACATGTCCGAATGCAGTTCAAGTCTGGACCCAGTGCCTTGAAAACCATGCTGGGCATGGGGCCGCCAGGTGGCACGGTGGTTAAGGTGCTGGACTCCCGCATGGCTGACCACAGCTCGAATCCCAAAGCTGGTAGCTTGTTTTCTCACTTCCCCCCACCTCTGGTCAAATTTTAAAAATCAAAAATGATGACCAATAAAATTAATTCTTAAAAAAGAACAAGAAAGAAAATCATGCCAGGCACATGTGCATATGTGCCCAAGATCCTGGGAGAAGGATGGAGGAGAAGGGGTGTGGCATGGTCATCCCCCAGTGAGTGATTTCTCACTTCCCCTCTCAATCTCTGTCTGTCTCTTTCTCTAGTGAGCACATACACCCTAAGGCAAAAACTTCTTTTAAAGAATAATAATGGTGGGGCTGGCAGGTGGCATGGTGGTTAAAGGCTCTGGACTCCCACACAGCTGACTGTGGTTTGAGTCCCGGATCTGGCTGCTTGCTTTCTCACTTCCCCCTACCCTCTCTCTCTCTCACTCTGTCCCTCTCTGGTCAAATTTAAATAAATAAAGTTAAATAAAATAATTATTAAAAATAAAAAGAAGAAAAGAAAAGAAAGGTAAGGAGGTGAGAAACTCCAAAATCTGTAGAGTGGCTAGTCCTAGAAGGAGGATACCGAGGCTTGAAGAACACTTATTCCTGGTGGGACCAGCAGTTGGCATAATGGCTATGTGGCTGGACTCCCATGTAGTCGACCACGGTTCGTGTCCTGGACTCAGTGGCTTAAACTCATGCTGGGCACATGTGCGTGCATGCCCAGGATCCTGAGAGGAGAAGGGATTGTGGCGTGGCCATCCCCCCGGGGGGTGATTTCTTGTTTTCCGTCTCTTTCTGGTGAGCGCATGTGCCGTACAGCAAAAAAAAAAAAAAAAAACTTATTCCTGGTGACATTCTGGCCTGAAGTTAGGCACTGGGCACAAGGGAGTTCATTAGAGTATTCCCTTTTTCAGACAGAAGGTCTCATGCTGTACTGCCCAGGCCAGCCTGGTGCTCACTATTCCCCTGCCTCAGCCTCCTTGAGTCATAGGCTCGTAGGCACAGCTGCCATGCCTGGCCTTTAGGTTGTCCCAGGAATAGAACCTGGGCCTCCCCAGTGCCCCAGCTCACATGAGCACTATGTCTAAGCAACGTACCCTGCCCCCCTCCCAAGGCTGGCCAAGTCTGTAAAAACCAGCTGTAACTGGCTACCTCACCTCTGCCTCATTCCTCATCACCACCCCCAGTCCTGAAGTGGGTCCAAGGGGTGGAAGGGTGGCTCATTACTGTCGGGGCTGGACAGTGGTTTCTGGCCAGTATCCTGGTAAGCAAAGACAACTGTTCCAGGGTCCAGCAGGTGGCATAGTGGTTAAGGCACTGGACTCCCATGTGAACAACTGCTATTCAAGTCCCGGACTCGGTGGCTTGAAATTAACACCAGGTACATGTGCGTGTGTGCCCAAAATCGCGAGAGGAGAGATGGAAGAGAAGGGACTGGAGGGAAGGGGCTACAGTGTGGCCCTCTCGCCTGGCGGGTGATTTCTCACTTTCTGTCTCTCTCTCTGGTGAGTGCACATGCACTGTCAAAAAAAACAAAAAGCTGTTCTGTGGCAAAAGAGGAAGCAGAGGAAAGACAGCAGGAGTCAGGCCTTCCTGGGTGCTGCCTGCTGCCACCCAGTGCCACAGGCTGCCCCTCCTGCCCTCCATCTCCTAAATGGCCCGATTTCTTCGAGGTAAATTCCTTTGTGCTGAAGGAGCTCCAGTAGGTTTCAGCTACTTGCCACCCAATGGGTCTTCATTAGCACATCTAATTTCCCAAAGCTGGTCCCCGGCACTGTGACTTTGGGGCCTTCTCCCTGGGCCTTCCTGCAGTTAGCACTCAGGGAGCCTGGCTCCCGAGGGTTCCCTGAGCTGTTACCAATGGCCTCAGGGCACAGTGGCGCCCCCATAACCTGAGCTACCCTTTTTGGAATGATTTTTTGTCATTGTTCCTTAAAGTGTAGACACCAGAACTGGAGACATACTCCCTGTGTGGACTGTTTAAAGGTACTGTCATCTCCAGTTTTCTAGACACTCAGTCTTTTTTTTTTTTTTTAAGAATTATTTTACTTTATTTATTTTAATTTGACCAGAGAGGGACAGAGAGAGAGAGAGGGAAAGTGAGAAAGCAAGCCACTAGGTCCGGGACTCGAACTGTTGGGGCGGGGGTGAGAAAGCAAGCCACTACGTCCAGGACTCGAACCACAGTCAGTCATGTGGGAGTCCAGCACCCTTAACCACCACGCCACTTGCTGGCCCTATAGACACTCAATCTTTAGTAATACAGCCTGCATTACGAGAAGCATTTGTGTTTTCAACAGCTACATTAGGCTCTGCGAAGGCAGAGGGCTTTTTCCCACGAACTAGCATCCAGCCAGTTCTCCCTCGCCGTCTGGCACTCGCACAATGGCTCCTTCGGAAACACACGCGAGACCGTACATTATGCTGCCTAAATGTCCTCTTCCTGGCTCCCATCCAGCTGTAGCCTTGAAAGCTCTGTGAGTCCCACTTCTATGACACAAGGCATTCATTCTGCCAGCGTGGTAGCTGTGGCCTTTATGAGCAGGGCTTCTGTGTTCTAAACCCAAATTGGGGACCGATGATCAACAGCTTAGGGTGAGGACAGAGCCCTGTGCTCTGTCACCAGAGACCTCCAGCAAGTCTCTCTATTTTTTTTGTATCCCTCTACACCCAGCAGGATCATGGGCTGAGGAGAGCGGCTCTGGGTTGGAGCAGGGTGAGGCAACTCCTGCCTCAGGAGGGCTCTCTGGTGGCAAAGAACAGAAACCATGGGTGGCCCACAGGGACCATATGGGAAGGGCCTGGGGGACCACGGATGGTAAGGACAGGAGACAGGGAGAGGCCACAGTGCTTCCACATCCTTGGAGAGCATGTGATTGGCCAGCTCCGGTCACGTGCCCTCTCCTAGACGGGGGAAGGTGGTGCCCCTTGATGGGCCTGCCTGGTGAGATCTGGGCTCCTGCCCCCATCTCCACTCTGGTCTGCTCAGCAGCTGGGGCTCTCTAAGGGTAGTTTAAAGTCAGCTCTGTTCAGATCTGGCTTGGGACCCGGCAGTGGCACAGCAGTAACGGGGCTCCACGGTGCTGAGGCTGTGTGAGAAGGTCCTTAGTGTATGCTATGATCCAAGCTGGCCGAGACTGGGCTGGGATGTGAAGGCCCTTTTAGGGGTGTCTCTCTCTCTCTCAAAATTTAAAATAAATAAATAAATAAAAATCTGGGCCAGCAGGCGGTGTGGAGGTTAAGGCGACTGGATCCTGCATGGCTGACTGGGTGACTTGAGTCTCAGCCCCACCAGGCGTGTGTGCACACAGAGCCAAAATCCCGAGAGGAGAATGGGGGAGAAGGGATTGTGGGTGGCCATCTCTTCTGGGGGTGTTTCCTCAGTTTTTTTTCTCTCTCTCTGGCAGCTCACGCCCCATAGAAAGCTAAAGATCTGGCTTCATTGTCCACCAGGTGCGACCCCAAGTCAGCCACCTCACTGCCTGTGCCTCCTTTCCCTTGACTCTAAAATGAAGATGATGGCTAACACCTGCCTCCTAGGTTTGCATTTGGGGTGGAACTAACACGTAAATGCTTGCAGGAGTGCCAGCGCTCTGAACCGGCTAGCCGTGTGACCACTGAAGCAGTATCACCTCCTAAGCCCACATTCCTCCTGGATGGGGTCCAGTCACCTACAGTTAACGAGGACAAGCACGACGGGTTAGTTCCCAGTGGCGTACATTGGCATGTCCGGTCACCACTTCCTTCCTTAGTACTCTCCTGTCGCCTACCGAGCCTCTGCCCCAGACTTGCCGGGCAGTCGATGTTGGGCTAACTTGTCTGTGCCCGCCGGACTCACCCTTTCTGCAAAGGTCGGGTAGGGTGGCGGGGTGCTTCCTTTTTTCTGGCTCCTGGCCTCAGCTGTTCTGCATGGCTGCAGATTCACAACTTCACTCACCCTCTGGAGCTATGATTTGCAGACCTTGAAACTTGCTCTTATTTGTTTACAGTGTTTTTAGTATGCATGGGTAGCCAAGCGATCCAGATGCCAGGAGAAACCCGAGGAGCTCAGGGGGTCCGCCCACTCTGCCATGGCCCCTGCCTAAAATCCACGCTTCCAGGCTCAGAGGTACATTACCCATGGACCTCCTCACCATCCCACATTCTAGGAGAAATCCAACAGAGAAGGGTCATGAACATAGCACCCTCCTGAGAGCAGGCCCAGATTTGGGATGGAATGGGGGTGAGAGTAGGCACCCATCAGGCAGGGCCCTGTGACAGGTCAGCCTGGTCTAGGGGCAGGGTCATAACCCAGGCAGAGAGGACCTTTTCTGTATTTCATTTGAAAAAAAATTCTTATAAAGCTCAGACACAACAAAGTAAAAGAACACTCTAGCAGGCCTGGACAGTAGGGCAGCAGGATCAGCACAGCAAGCCTGGCCCACTAGGGAAGGTTCCCAGTGCACGTCCAGAGACTTCCCTAGTGGGCCGGGCTGGCTGCAGCTGGGGGTGGGCTGTGGCGTGAAGACCCTGTTGTGGGTGTTGTCTTTGTCTCTCACCCACAGAAGAAGTAAACTTTAAAGAAACAGAGGAGTCTGCGGACAGGGGAATGAACACATGTCCAGGCTCCCGGTGCTATCAGGTGAGGCCTGTGCCTGCACGTAAAGGGTCTGGGTGTCGTGTCCTGGCTCAGTGACCATGACCTGGGGCAGTGGCCAAGCGGAGAGGGGGACCCAGGTGTCCACCTGACTTCTCTGTCTCTCTCTGGCTCCTGTCACATTTCGACACGGCTTTATTCCTAGCACACAAGCCGCTGTTTTTAATTAAAACTTTTAAAAATCACATGCTTGCTGCAAAAATGCAGATATGGATATATATAGTAGGCTGCTCCCTCCTCCACGCTTCCAATGCTGTCCTTAAAGGAGACCGCAGGGACGTTTTGGGGGTGAAAGTCCTTCTAGTGGCTTCTTTGAACCTTTTTTTTTTTCTGTGAAGCAGAGGCATGATGCTTGGTGCCCACGGCTCTGAGAAGGGAGATGTTGCCCCCTTAAATGAGCCACAATAAGCAGAGCCCGGCCTAGGGCCTCACGAGCAGTTGGTGCTGAGGAAATGGCCACATGCTCCTCACATGACCAGCAAGTCGCCATGTGCCCGTGTCCTTGCAGGCCTCAGCAACCCCGTCTGTCTGCCCCACTAGCAGCTTAGGGTCAAGCCCCCGCAGCGCCCTCTCGATATCTTCAGGAGGAATTAGTCTCAGCCCAGCAAAAATCGGGAGATGGGGAGGCCTGTTCCCCCAGGGTGACTGGTGGCTGTTGATCTTCAGAATAGGAGGGTGATTCCTCATTTTTGCAGATGAGAAGACTATGGCTGGAGAGGGAAGTAACTTACCTAAGACCACACGAACAGGTAGCAGGTCAGAAGGGTCACCAGCCTAAGTCCTGAACTCTGGTCCTTTCTGCCGTGCCACGCTGACTGCAAGTCAGAGACTCAGTCCTGTGTTTGGACTGAGCCCAGAGGAGGTCTTGAATGAATGAATGAATGACCACATTATATGTATGTGTGTGTGTGTATGTGTGTGTGTATATATATATACACACACACATACACACACACATACATACACACATATGTGTATATATTACATATAATATACAGCGCCCATCTATACAGTTTTGATCTCCTTCACATCTTTTTTTTTTTTCTTGTTTTCATTTGCTAGAGCACACAGGTTCTTGCCACAGAAAGACAGAAGGCAAGTGAGAAAGCACCCTTTTGGGCAGTGATCTCGCTGCAGTCCCCTCCCCTCCATTTGGGGATTTGGGGCCTGCACGCACATGCATCCAGTATGCTTTTAAAGCCACCAGACTCAGACTGTGCAGCCAGCCATGCGGGACCCAGCCACCCTAACCACCACACCGCCTGCCAGTCCCACAGAGCTCCTTACACGTGAGGCTCACAGTGACCTTGCCCATCAGGAGCTTTCACCTCCTTCTCTGAGAAACTGAGGTTCAGTTTGCCCCCAGCTAGCTTTACCAAGACAAGGAAGCCGTCTGACGTCCGAGCCTGAGCGAGCTGTGTGCCCTGGGCCTCTGCCCTCTCTGCAGGGCCAGGGCTAGGGCCAGCTCAGGGACCCCCTGAGTGGAGCATGGCGAGGCACACAGCAAGTGCCCAATAATGGTCAAACCTCCAGATGTTGACAGGAGTAGGACTTGACACCCTGAGAAAAGGCGTCTTAGAGTTTGCCCAGAACTAAACAAACGAAGAGGCCCAGGGACACCTGCCCAAGCTCCTGCAGACACCCGCCTCCCCCAGCTGGATTCAGCCCCCACCCCAGAGGAAGCTGGTTGCCTTTCCGGGTTCTGGGGGAGAAGGGTGGGGCCGAGGAGACCAAAGGAGCCTCTCAGGTAGGGTGCGGCCTGATCAGGCTCTGGGGTGTCAGTGAAGGTAGCAGACCATGCCTGCATCCTGGTGGCCGTCCTCCTACCTCCTGGCTTTAGGGGAGACCCAGCTCCACCCTGGGGAAGTAGCCTGAGAGGCCGATCAGCAGCAGAGTCCCGCGATGTGGAACCACAGCACCCAGGCTGGCTGACCCAGCTCACCAGGTGGCCCCAGGAGCCCTGGGCCAGCCCTGGGCTGACTCTTCACCAGGGGACTGAAGCCTCAGAGTGGCTAGTAGCTTATAACCCTGCCTCTTACCCCCTGTTCCCCTGGCCAGGTGGCCCATCTGGGGCCCTGAAATGGGCTCTGGAATCCCTTTCCCCACCAGAGCCTGGGAAAGAAAAACAGAGAAGGAAGAGGGTGAGAGGGAAGGGGAGAGGGATGCCCACCCCAGTAGACCCACCCTCCTGCTGTCCTCCAGTCTTCCTGTCTCTCCTGCCCTCATGGCCTTCCTTCCACCTAGAGCCGTCCCTCCCTCTTTCCTCTTTCTTCCCTTCCTCTGGTTCTGGCCCCTCCCCCGGCCTCTCCTGCCTCCTGAATTCTGAGAGAGCTGGGGTGGGAGTAGAGGTGGGGGGGTAGGAGAGGGAAAGCGGCTCTCCTCAGGCAGTCACTGGAGGTCTTCTGGGAGGAGGCCATGAGCTTTTAGTCCTCTGGAATTAAGGAAGTGTTTGCCAGATGCAAAACAGAGAAAGAAGCTTCTGGAAAGCAGAAATGGCTTCCATAAAGGCCCTGGGGATGAAGTTACAGAGTTTGTCTCTGGAGCAGCTGGGAATAGGGTATAGTGTCCCCCCCCCCCCCTGCACCCCCCTGCCCCAGCATACCGGCCGGCCTCTCCTGCCTCCTGAATTCTGAGAGAGCTGGGGTGGGAGTAGAGGTGGGGGGGTAGGAGAGGGAAAGCGGCTCTCCTCAGGCAGTCACTGGAGGTCTTCTGGGAGGAGGCCATGAGCTTTTAGTCCTCTGGAATTAAGGAAGTGTTTGCCAGATGCAAAACAGAGAAAGAAGCTTCTGGAAAGCAGAAATGGCTTCCATAAAGGCCCTGGGGATGAAGTTACAGAGTTTGTCTCTGGAGCAGCTGGGAATAGGGTATAGTGTCCCCCCCCCCACTGCACCCCCTGGCCCAGACATCAGTGGAAAATAAGAACTAGAGACTAAGCCTCTGGTGCCTGGTTAGGGGGCTTAAACCCCATTCTCAGCAGTGATTGTCCCAGTAGGTGTCATGGCACCCTGAGGCTGTAAGAGGGGTCCTTAGAGCTGCCTGGACAGGGGTTGGGGCTCCAGGCCCTTGTCCTGCTCCACCAGAATGGCTCTAACTTCACAAGATTCATGGGTAAGCCAGGGGAGCCCCTTGTGGGCCTCAGCAGGGGCAGGGCTGGCCCAAAGGGACTTTAGAAGCCAGCACTGGTAATGGCCTCAGGCGTCAAGTGGCCCCCCAGGCCATTCTGCTCCAGCTCTCTGGCCCCCGACCCTTCCTTCCAAGCCACCAGGAGCCAATGTAGAAGATGGCAGTCCACCAGGCACCACCAGGCAGGCGAGTGTGCTCACTGGGAAAGCGGGGACTGGCAGGGACAGACTCCGAGTCAGGGTCACCAACAGTTTGGGGGCAGGCCCAGGACCGCTCAGGTCTGGTCTCCCAGGGATTCTGTCCCCCCCTTTCAAAGGCCCAGAGCAGGTGCAGAGCAACTGCCACAGTCCAATCGCTGGCCAGCCCCTGCGGCCTCCAGCCCCCTCTGCCCACCTGCCCTCCAGCTGTCCCACCACACCTGGCCCTCTGTGCCTGTGGAGACCTGACCAGCCTTCGGCCACACTCCAGGCAGACAGCTGGCGGCTGGCGGCTGGCGGCTGGGAGAATGCGCAGGATGCAGTGGGGAACAGCACTCAGGCTAGGGAGACACCAGCAGCCTCCCCTTGCCAGCTGACCTTGAGCTCCTGCTGGGCCTCTGTGGGCTAGGGCTATTCTGAGTGGCTGAAGCGGGTCCCCAGGGCTAACTCTAGGTAGCCTGTGGGCTCCTGGGTGCCTGGAACTGTGTCATGGCCTCCAGTGGCCGCCCTGGTCTTCCACTGTGTGGCCAGAGTGATGGATCTGTGGGCTGTGTGACCCCAGGCTGCTGCCTCAGCCTTTCTGGGCCTTACGGTAGCCCCTCCTCCACTCAGGGCCTAGTCACAGCACCCCCCCAAACTGTGTCAATGGCCGTTTTGTGTGAGGCTCCAGGAGACTGACGTTTGCGCCTCTGACCTCACAATAACGGACTCCTGTCAGCCCTGGGCCCAGCCTGTAGGGGGCAGCCGGGAGGACCCGCTTCCAGCTTGTCTGGGGCATTGTCCTGCCCTTCCTGCCCAGTCAGGGGGAGGCTTTTGTGGTCATTTCCTCTCAGACTAATTTCCCATTCCAGAGCTCGGCCTGAACCTCAGCCTCCCACCAGCCCTAGCTGTGCCTTTCTAGGCAAGTCCCTGCAGCCTCACGCCTCAGTTTCCCACTCTGTAAAGACTTGGCGTCTACCTCGACCTGAGTTCCAATTCCCTATTCAAGTCTTACCACTTATTGCCCTTGTGCTATAAGCCTCGGCTTCCTTATCTGAAAAATGGGGGTGGTTAGGTCATTAGAAACTGGAATCTGACAGCCCTGGGTGTAGCTGGGTGGCTCTGAGAAATCTGCAGATCTCTTCAAGCCTCACTTTCCTCTCTGTGGAATGGGGATGATGGTCCTTTTCAGGAGTCACGAGAGGGCGCGCAACCCTGGTACACACTAGTACCCGCGCTTTTTCCGTCTTTCTGACTCATGATTTCATCTTTACAATGTGCTTATTTTTTCAAAAGAATTATTTATTTATTTAATTCCATTTGTTATTATTATTATTTTTAATTTGACCAGAGAGAGCGAGAAAGGGAAAGCGAGAAAGCCAGCTGCCAGGTCCGGGACTTGAACCACAGTTGGTCATGTGGGAACCCATTGCCTCTAACCACTATGCCATCTGCGGGCCTCTGTAGTGTGTTTCTTAACTTCCAAATGTGTGGGGGGTTTTCTAGTTACACTTTTCTGTAATTTATTTCTGGATTAGACAAATGTGGTCAAAACATCCTAGAATTTCAGTCCGTTGACTTAGGTTCCAGTACAGAGCACATTTTTGTTGTTATTTTTTTAGGTTGTTTTGTTTTTGAGAGGTTTTTGCTATAGGGCGCGTGCACTCGTCAGACAGACAGTGAGAG